TGTTGAATGTACAAGTAACAACCTTTTTTTTTTCCTCCCTTGGTGAAGTTGGTACAGAGGTGCAAGCAGAGGAAATGAGGTTGCTTTATTTAAAGGACAGATGTACAGATGTGCAGGGGCGTAATCATCACTTTAAGAGCTAATAATCATGATGAAAAAAATCTGAGACTTAATCTGTTTTATCATTTACACTAGATTATAAATTTAGACTCCTTTCTCTATCAAATAATTCCCCCCCCCCTTTTTTTAATTAACCAGAAGGCACATGCATTTGCCAGCAAGAAAGAGGGAGGAGAAAGCACCTCTCAACGGGGTGTGGTCATGCTATAATTCCTTCATTTCTCCATCTTGTCAGATTTGGGGCATGCAAACACACACATGTGCCTGGTGTGTTTTTCAAGCCTCCAGAGCCGCAATTCAAACCTTGATTGGCTATGTAGGATCCAGCTCCCTTAATCACCATGCTACAGAGTTGGCTCTCAAATGTTTTGGTATAAGAAATTTTTTAAAAAGAATTATTTTATTATTTAACTTTATTTATCTATTTATTTATTTTAATTTGACCTGAGAGTGATAGTATGAGAGGGAGAGAGAGCACGAGAAAGCAAGCTGCCATGTCTGGGACTCAAACTGTGGTCAGTCACGTGGGAGTCCAGCACCCTTAACCGCCATGCCACCTGCTGGTCCCGGTATAAGACATTTAAATAGAAGTCACTGGACCTCAAGTGCATACCTGTAACCTAATTCTTCTGGCCAAATCAGAAATGATGTCTGGTCATTACCTTGCATATTACTGATCGAATTAACACCCATGTTAGATATGGTCATACAGTTTTTCTATAGATGGATGGTAGCTTTGATGATACTACAAAAAAGGCACTTTTTATTCCAACAAAAATTAAAATAAGGACATAAAAAACAAGCCAAATGAATACATGAGGGTTATCCACTTGTTGATGGGAAGATAATGTCAAACACAGGCAGAAGGAATCTGAACTTTCTCTTTTCCAACATGGAAATAAAGTATAGTGTTTGATTTGTATTTTAGGTGACAGAACCAAGATTATATGTAGCAATGAAAGAATCTTGCCTTGGGACCAGCAGTTAGCATAATGGCTATGTCGCTGGACTCCCATGTAGTCGACCACGGTTTGTGTCCCAGATCTGGTGACTTAAACTCACACTGGACACGTGTGTGTGCATGCCCAAGATCCCGAGAGGAGAATGGAGGAGAAGGGATTGCAGCGTGGCCATCCCCCTTGGGGGGTGATTTCTCGCTTTCTATCTCTCTCTCTCTCTTTCTCTCTGTCTGGCGAGCGCACGTGCCCTATAGCAAAAACCTCTTAAAAAGATTCTTGCCTCATATCACAGTGTTTGATGCCATTGTTCCCTGCCAATCTACCCTGACTTACTGTATATGAGCTTCTATGCTGTAAGATGGAATAAACCTACTGTAACTTGCCCCAAGGTTTCCATCCTTAACCAAACTCTACTAGTTGATTCATGGTCTCTGTCTCAAAACAATTAAAACAAAACCAAGATCCAAAAAACCTAACTCTATATAATGACCAGTGTTTTCCTCTGATTAAATGCATTTCCCATCACTCTGAAGTAAGAGTTAACAGTTTTTTTCATACCCAACCAGGCCAAGGGAAAAGCCAAAATGATTAGTCCATCACAAAATTTAGAAATTAACTATTTTTTTTCCAAACTTTCTAGTTTTAGGAATATAAAAATATTCATATCATAGTTCAAATTTGTAATATACAGTAAGTAGAAAAACATCTGAAAATACTAATGGTAAATTACTATGTGAGGTTGGACTGGAGGGGTAGGAATTATTATCCTCCACATTTTCCTATTATATTTTAAAATGAGGTCAGTGTTCCCTAGCTTGCATTATTGTAATACCCGATAACTGATTTGGATATTTTTGCCCATTGGGAAGAAGGCTATCAAAAGTTATCATGGAAAAGCGTTACGAGAGGGCATTATGTTTGCTCTCCAGATTTAGCCAGCAAAGACTGATGAGATCTGTACACTTCAGGTTACTTGGATAACTTGACATTTGCTGGGATCTGGGCCATGTACTTCTAGATCCTGCCTTGCTGTAAGAGCTTTGTCACTTAGAATTTCATTAAACTAAGGCATTTCTACTAATCCAGGCCAGGCTGCCCCACTCCCTCCTGTCAAGTGTTCTTCCAGGAAAATTAGCTAGGACACCACCAAATTGAGAAGCTTTGTCTGTCGTTTTCTCTCTCAGGCCCTCTGGGATGCCTTCGGAGGCTTTGCTGCTAGTCTTTCCTAACCTGCTCTCCCTCTTATTTCTGCTCCTCTTCTCCAATGTTCTGCATCCTCTGAGCCCTTGGTTGAGCTGCTTTATGAGTTTTACTGGAATCTTCATCCCAGCTCAGTTTAGAAGCAAGGGCAAGATGGCGGGCTTCTTCCCCCTCACAGTCCCTGCTCCTTGTCAGGCTGGGCTGTTAAAGGTGCCAGTGGACCACTGGGTGGCAGCATCAGCTTCTCTAGTTTTACAAAGAATGGCTCTCCTAACACAGAATGGCCACCTGAGGGTTTAGCTTGATGGCCGTTGGGAACAAGTCATTAGTTTTCTGAAACTCATCATTCAGTGGTTCAGTGGTAGCAGATTTCATTTGTCTGCTTCATCATTTCCTTGGTTCTCTCCATGGTTTTGTTTCTCCTACTTTGAGCCTCAGTGACACTCATGATCAATTTCTAGATTGCTCTTTTTACTTGCTGGTTCTTCTGTCTGTAAAGACGCCTCTGACTTCTTGCCTTGGTGCACCTACCCCCACCTGCCCCAAGAATTTCTTTCTTAACTCTAGGAAAACTGGGTGGTATTGCATCCCTCATATCTTCTACCCTTTCCTCAGGGAAGTACAGCACCTAAAGATTCTTGCTCACATGGCTGGCTTTGTAGGCCCAGGTAGCATGTAGAGTGGGGTGGTCACAGCAGAGGCTGACATGGAGGCTGAGAAGGCTGTAACTCTGAACCAGGTGTGAGCTTGACCAGCTGTGAGGAGTGGTTGGTGGCAAGGTGGGAAACTGAGTCCCTGGCTCTTTCCTTAGAGCAGCAGTCCCCAACCTTCCTGGCACCAGGGACTGGTCTTGTGAAGGACAATCCTTCCACAGATGTGCTTTGGGGGTGTAAGGTTGGTCCCAGGATGACCCAAGCACACCATATCCACCATGCACCCCATTTCTGCCACCATCATATTGCAACATGCAATGAAAAATTATACCACATAGGGGTCATGATCCCATGAGAATGCAACTCTGCTGCTGACCTGACAGGAGGTGGAGCCCAGGCAGCATTGTAAGTGATGGGGAGCAGCTGCAAATACAAAGTCCTTGTTCACTGGCCTGCTGCCCACCCCTCACTTCATGGTCAGGGGGTGGGTGGGCAATAGGTCACAGATAGGCACAGGTATGCAACCCCAGGGGTTGGAGACCCCTGCCTTAGAAGACCCTTAAATGATATTCCATGTGGATCTTTGGAGTGGTTTCATTTTTCTGGAAAGGAAAACCTAAGGGAACAAAAAGCATTAAATGTGTGGGTGAGTGCATGGGCTAGGCCTTCCACGTTCCATTTGTTTCGTTGTTTTTAGTTTTTTGCCATAGGGTTCATGTGCTTGCTGGAATGGGAAAATGTGAACTCACTCCTCAAGGGAAATGGCCATGCTGCAATTCCTTCTCCTCCATTCTCCTCTTGAGATTTTGGGCAGACACACATGTGCCCCATGTGATTTTTGAGCCATAAGGTCCAGGTGAACCACGGTTAGCTGTGTGGAAGTCCAGAGCCTTATTTACCAGGCCACCTGCTGGCCCCTTCATGTTCCTTTTATAGACTTCAAGGGATTTCTTTCAGCTCCACATCTCATTCTCACTCTGTGTTTTAGTGACCCTGAGCCCATGCTTCATCCATGTTTCCAGGAATAAACCTTCAGCCTTTTAAGCACAAGAGCTACTGTAAACCTGGCCACTGGTGTGTATGCTGTGGGCTTTCTCCCTGTCCCCCTCCCAGTGCCCATTTTTCAGTTCTCTGCTGCACACCCCACTCTATCCAGGAGTCCTGAGCCTCCCTGCAGAGCCCCAGGAGGCCTGGCGCTGTGTTCTGAGGCATGCCAATGCCATTCGCTGTGCATTTTGTCCTCCTCCATCTGCTGTCTTTTAAATATCTCTTCAGTTTTCTTGATTGCTAACACTTCCCTCCTAGTTTCTCTGTTTATAGCTTTCTTTTAAAATCCATTTACCAAGGCTGGCCATGGTCTGGTGGTTAAGGGGACTCAATTCCTCCTGACTTACTTGGAAATTCAAATCCCATCCCCAGTGGCTTGAAAAAACAGGCCAGACACGTGTGTGCATGCCCAAAATTATGATAGGAGGGAGAAATGGAAGAGAGGGCATGACCGCGCACTACTGGGGGAATGCATTCTCTCTCTCCTCTCTACCTGCCTCTCTCCAGCAAATACAGGCACCCTCTGGCAAATTAGGGGAGAAATCCTTTGATTGTCCTTTATTGGCATCTGGGGAGGCAGAGAAGATAATCTGTGTACTTTGTCTGCCATCTTTTTTTTTTTTTTTTGAGAGGTTTTGCCATAGGGCGCGTGCACTTGCCAGACAGACAGAGAGAGATAGAGAAACAGAAAGGGAGAAATCACCCCCCAGGGGAGGATGGCCACACCACAATCCCTTCTCCTCCATTCACCTCTCAGGATCATTGGCATGCACGCACACGTGCCCGGCTTGAGTTTTAAGCCACCAGGTCTGGGACGTGAACTGTGGTCATCTACATGGGAGTCCAGCGACATAGCCATTATGCTAACTGCTGGTCCCCTTTGTCTGCCATCTTTACCTGGAATTCCCATGTGGATTTATAAGATAAAACTTCAAACCAATGAACTTGGGCAGAAATGAGAACAGTAAGACTCAGGATAAGAAAGGTCACACTTGAACTTTAAAGTAATGTTTATTTTTCTGGCAGTGCTCACTTGGGCGTTAAATACAGAGACCGACTCCACTGTTGGAATGCTACTTGCGATGGTCATCTTCTCCCAAGCTCCACAATTTAGCCTTGTACAGAGTGATGTCATTGTAGACCTTGAAGTGATTCAGCCTGTGGTCCTGGCGTTCTGGGTCGACCTAGAGAGGAAGATGCAGGATCAGAAAGAAGCCTGTGGATGAGTGGGGAGACCTGCCTTGGAGTCGATGGACCCGGCCTACATCAGCCCTATGCCCCTCTATACATTAGACTATGTATAGAAACTGCTTAGTACAATGCCTAGCTTAGAGTAAGTGTTCAAACAATGTGACTACTGATGTCACAAATGTTAGCGGGAGGCATTAGGCTGGGTGGTACTCACTGAGTGTGGTTTCCCAGGTCCTGGTTTTGAGGTTGGGATAGTCTATCTGCCCAGGGTGATGTCCTGCCAGGGGTTAAGAAGCCCCAACTTTGGGCTGATCAGGTCTTTTCTGCACACACACACACACACACACACACATACACACACACACACATGATTCTAAAATCAGATTCATTATCTCTTTGGTTGCAAAAGAGCTGGATCTAATGATTTCTGGGGTAGACTTTCTTACTGTGTTACCAGTACCCTGTCTTCAGGTTTGTAATGAATGGGCATGGCATGTCTGCATTCATGGCATGTCTACCTTCAGCAAGAGTTCCTTAGGTCAGTTTAGATGAGGTCTAGCCCTTACCTTGGTGCTTTTTCTTCTGTCTATCCTCATTAAATCATTCATTCATTATTTATCTCCACTAATTGTCATTGAATACTTTTTTCCTTAACATGCTTCCTTTGTTCATTATAAGCTAGACCTGCCCCCCCCCACTTCTCTTTCTCTTTGAGTGGCCATCACCACTTAACCAGCTGTCTACCCATACCTCTCTCTTTTGAATTCAGTCCTTCCTTGTGTAAGTGGTGGCAGGCTCCAATGGAATCTCCCTGTGTCCTGCAGTCTCTTCTGTCCAAGGCAATGCCCCATATCTGAAGAGAAGCTGTTGCAAATGAGCAGCTTACTCACCCTCCTTACTGATAAAAACTGGATTATTGAGCCATTTATTCAAATCTCATGCAGAAGCCATGTAGCAGAGTGGTGTGCTATAGGTTAGAGTTGCGAAATGGATAAGACTGTCAGCCTCCTGGAGTAGGAACGAGAGAACTACAGAGTGTGGAGAGTTCTTAGGAAGGGAGCGTGCTAGAAAATCACTCAGTGGATGAAAGCAATGGAGCTCAAGCTCAGGAGAAGCACCTCAATGGTTCTATGATGGGCACTTCTTATCAGCATCACAATAGTCACATTTATTGAACACTTACTATGAGCTAGGCACGGTACTAAGCAGTTCCTATGCACAGTCTATAATCCTCACAACAAACCTTTGAGCTTAGATGCCATTGTTATCATACCCATTTTAAACTGGACAAATGGAGGTTAAAAGAATTGAAGGTTGGGGCCAGCAGGTGGAGAGGTATTTAAGGAGCTGGACTCCCATGTGGTCAACCAAGGTTTGAGTCCTGGACCTGTTGGCTTTCTTTCTCATTTCTCTCTCTTTCTGTTCATCTCTGGTCAAATTAAGAAAACAAACAAAGAAACAAAAACCCAAACTACTACTACTACTACTAAATAAATAAACTTAACTAATTATTAAAAAAAAGAGTTTGAGGTCACACAGCTAGAAAGTGGTGGAGCTGGGATTTGAACTAATGCTTTCTGACTCTAGAGCTACCTGTTACATTAATACATAGACGTAAGTTAAATGCTGTAACTCCAGGAGGCACAAAGTGTTACAATGTGCTCAGCTCTGCCTGGTGGGGAGTAGAGTGGCAGAAGTTCCTTAATGGGACTTTATGGAAGAAGTGACTCCGGAGCTGGGTCTTGAAGAATGAGCTGGATGTCCCCAGTGAATATGGGCTAGGGCTTAGGGGACAGTGAATATAGAGATACAGGATGTGCAAGATCCTGGTACTTGCTGGTCGTGCTGTTCAGATACTGCTGAGGAAGAGTTTCTAACTTCACACCATACACAAAATATACCAAATGAACATAGAAAAGAGTAGATGTTTTATAACTGTGGGTGTTGAATGTTTTTCTAAGCAAGGCATATACCCCAGAAACCATCATGAAAAAGGCTGGCATATTTGTTGACTAAAAACTAAAAAGGGGCCAGTAGATGGCGTACTGGTTAAGTCACCGGATTCCCACACGGCTGACTGTGGTTTGAATCCCTAACCAGGTATCTTGAAAATCATGCCAGGCACGTGTGTGTGCATGCCCAAGATCCCAGAAGGAGAATGGAGGAAAAGAAATTGTGGCATGACTATCATCCCCCGGGAGGGTGATTTCTCACTCCTCTCTCCCCTCCTCTCTGACAAGCACACATTCTCTAAGGAAAAAAAAAAAGAAAGAAAGAAAGAAAAGAAAAGGAAAGAAAATAACCCCCAAACCAAAAAAATACCCCAAAAACAAACTCTTTAAAAAAAAAAGAAATAAACACCTCTGCACTATGAATGACATAAACCGAGGGCCAGCAGGTGGCATAGTGGTTGGAGTGCTGAACTCCCACATGGCCTACCAGGGTTTGAGTCCCAGACCCAGAGACTTGAAATTCAATGCTGGCTGTGTGCTCACGCACATGTGCATGCATGCTCAAAATCCCAGGAGGAGAATAGAGGGGAAGGGATTGCTGCAGTATAGCCATCCTCCCTGGTGGGGTGGGGGGGTGATTTCTTGCTTTCTCTGACTGTCTCTTTGGCTAGTGCATGCACCCTATAGTAAAAACCTCTCTCTCTCAAAAAGAAAAAGAAACCCAGACAGACATAAGCAGAGCTAAAAGACAAATGTGGCAGAAGCTTCTTCAAGTCCTGCATTTCTTCCTCAATAACAAAACTTCTATATTATTTAGTGTGATAATGTGCTAAGGACTACATTTCCCATACTTCCTATGGAGAGTTGTATCCTCCAGTCAAACGAGGGAAGTCCTAGTACTAGCATTCCAAGTTCATGAAGAAGGGAAAAGAAGGTAGAGACCGTAAGTGCCATGCTACTAATCACTCGTGGAGCAACCCGGGCAGCCTGTCTATCATCAGGAACCTTTCATCAACACGAACGCAGCATTTTCTGTGTGCCAGGTACTGCTCTGAATACCTGAGCTATACCACTGCATTTCATCTTCACAGTCACTTTAGGAGAGTGGTTCTTAAACATCTCCATTTCACAACAAGAAAACTGAGTCATAAAAGGGCTTCCTAACTTCCTACAACTATACCCCTACTAAGAGGTAGCCAGAATTCATACCCTGGCCACCTGGCTCCCTGTCTATCCTTAGCCACTGTCTATACAACCAAGCATCTGTGCTTTCTTGTGTGTTCTAAGGAGTGGAGCTGAGCTTACCAAGGGCTCTGAGTGCCATCCAATTTCCTGGTTCTCGGTCTGCGTTTCTGTGTATTTCTTCTGGGGCTCCAGGGCAGCATGGTGAATGAGATGCAGAAACCTGGCTGGGAGACAAGGAGGAGCCATGAAAGAGTTGGGCTGTGGGACCCACGAGTGGTCCTTTCCTTCCTCTGGTTCATGGTCAGGATGGGGAACAGGGCCCAGACATGCAGGTATACAAATAATCTGGTAGAGGCAGACAGTGGTCCCTGCTGTGAAGGCCAAGGGACTAGTGAAGGCCAGGGCAGCCATGTCATGGTGAGAGGCCTCCCTGGATGCCAAGCAGCAGCCAGCCCTGGAAGGGGCAGGGGAAGGGCACGCCACAGGCAGCAAGAGGGAAGGCCCTGAGGCATGAGCAGGTTTGGCCAAGATGGTGCAGCAGACAGTGTGAGCAGGAAGGTTGCAGACGTGAGGGCAAGGCCTTCTGTGTCGGGGTAGTGTGGTTGCCGACACCAGGTGTGTCTGGAACTGGCCAGACCTCTCCCCTAGCACACCTCTGCTGGGGAGAGGAGGTTTGACCACAGAGTGCACCTGGCTTTGCCGCTGAACACTCCTGGCCCTGCCACTACCAGCTTGTGAGGTGGGCTAACGTCCCCCTGCCTCACCGTATTCATCTGGAAATGTCTATCTGAGCAAGACCAAGAATGGAATGAAGGAATGAGAATCAAGGGCCTGGGGTCAGGCTGGGCACATCCTTGAGCCTATCCTTAATAGAAGGCAGGGAGCAATCGTCTCCCGACCGGCGTTAAGGCTCTCAGCGCCTGCTACATTCCTTATAGCTGCAAGCCCCCTGGCCCCCGTTCCTCTCGCTGCGGGTGGGCACTATGGATGACACCCTACTTGGTGGGCTTGCCCCCTCCTTTAGTCTGTTTACTTGTCTGTGTCCTTCCCAGTGCTATGAGATCCACTCCCCACTCTCTACGCTGTCCTGGCATAGAAATTTTATAATCTTCCTCCATCAAATTATACTCTAGGAAGGCAGAGGCAAGACAGGAGGGCTTTCTGGGAGAGGTTAGGCTTTTCCCCAGACATCTGTCTTTCCTCATTCCCACACATGGCCCCCTCTCCACCTGAGTACCATGGCAATTATAAAGGACTCATAGTTCTTAGACCCTGCAGGTATTTCTCATTTTGTGCCTTCACATGTAACTCAGAATGCCCTTCAGTTTTCCTGACATGCTCCACCTCTCGTGAGGTCTCCCAGAATAGCAGTGCTTGATGTTTGTGCCTGTTTTTTATGCTGTCATCACACCTGTCCTATTCCCTATATACATGTCTACCTCCTATGACACTTGGTACAAGGCTCCCCGCCCCCACCTAACACCCTCGCCCCTGCCCTCCTAACACCAGCCTAGCGATTATCACTGGTAACAGTGAAAATAATATCTGGCCACCATATGCCACATTCTGCTCTGAGAACCTGCACTGTTTTGTTTAATCCCTACGACATCCTAAGAAATAGGCTCAGAGAGGTTAAAAATTTGCTTAAAGTTGCACAGTTAAGGAAGGAGTGACGGCCAGGATTTGCTCTCAGTATTATTGCCTGTGCCAGTAACAACTAAATGTTTGATGAATGGATTAATGGAATGTTAAGATCATTAGCGACATTTTGGTTGGCCTGTTACTAAACTGCTGTTGTGATTGACTGTGTCAGTCCCCTGCGAGTTAGGTTAGTATGCATCCTGTTTCCAGAATCAAAGCAGAGGACTCTGCTGCTTGCTCCAAGGTCAACATGACCCTGAGAGGTTTCTCCAGCCTGTCTGCTTCTTGCTGCGGATTCGATGAGTGAGAACACTCATTGGTGTTCGCAGTCCCCAGGACTTACCATCTGCAGGTTCCTCCAGGTTATCATGCCAAGACATGGGCTTTCTGGTGATTGTGTGGACTAGAGAAAAACAGCATCACAGGCTCACGTTAAAACACACATGCCCTCCTAATTAGGCTAGCATCCTCCTACCATGAATATCCGGTACATGCTAGGTATTTTGTTCAACTCTGGGGAACATAGTGAGATGAGGCCCTTGAAGAGTTTACCTACAGTGGCACTGTCCAGAATGGTGGCCACACACACATGTGGCTACTCACAGAGAAACAGTTAAGAATTAAGTGGTCCCCTCAGTGGTCACATGTAGCTAATGACTACAGTTTGCAGCACAGACAGAACGTTTTCATCATCAAAGAACGCGTGCTTGGACAGCGCTGGTCTATAGCGAAGGTGTGCATGCCAGGCATCCTAAGGAGGTTTGCCAGAGAGTGATAAACGAGGGGTCTTCAACAAGGCCGTGGACAATCTGTATTATAAGAACACTATGCATGGATTTCTAGTATGTTTTGCACCAGAACACATTAATTTCATGCTTTCCATGAATTCCCCTCACATAAGCATGAAGCAGAACAAAGTGGGATTAGTGGATAGAGAGTTGATGGTGGGGCATGGTGTGGTGGCGAATGTCTAGGCAGGTGAGCGTGAGCAGAGTCCTGAAGGCAGTGTGGGAATGCCCTGTGTGAGTACATGGGAGAAGAAGAGCAGTTTGGTGAGTTCCAGAAACATCAAGAAGGCCAAAGGAACTCACTCTGTACCTAGAGTAGCTAGCTGCAAAATGTTAGATTATGAGCAGATCAGTAGAGATCAGAGGTGTTCAAACTATTTTGCATCTAAAATATCTACTAGTAAAAAACTTTTGAGAATGCATCCCTAATATGTGTATGTCTACAGGGTATTCTCGGCATATTGACAGGGCATAATTTCTGTCTTTATGGAGAAGTAAACATAAATGAAAGTTCCAGTAGTTCCTCTTTGCATGTCATGGATCATATTAACCATATGCCCAAGGGTCATGAGCTGGGAGACAGCAATTTCCTAGAAGCCTGATTGTTGCCTGAAGGGATTATTCCAATCATTGGAATGGATCAAGCTTAAAATGAAATGCACATTAATTTGTTGTGCTGAAATTAGTGGCTGGGGCCTCCAGAAGAAAACAGGATGAGTTATAAGCAAAATGAAGACATCGTGTTTTCTCTGTGCAGTGAGGCCACAGTGGACTATAGTCAACTGGGCATGGAATCTAGGGAGAAATTCAGGAAGCAGCAGCAATGATTATGTAGGCTAAGTGGTGGGAAGTGGCATGATGTCCTTAGGAAATTCATTTATTTAGAAATGGTGGGAGAGAGAGGAGCATATGTGGGAGGCTTTAGCAGTGGCTGGGGCAAGGAAGGCACTGGGATAGTCATGAAAGGAACACGTGTCGGGTGGGGTGGAGAGACGAGGGTGGGATGTAGCTGGGTGGGAACCAGAGCCAGACTCAAGGGACCTGTGGACTGACTCATGTGATCAGTAGCTCAGAAGCTGAGGGGACCCATGAAGGATCTGAGGGGTGGACTGACATGATCGAACTGGTCTTTTAGCATAGCTCTAGCTAGCAGCGGTGTAAGGGGTGAGCCGGAGAGATGGACTCGGAGGGAAGGAGCCCATGGGACCAATCCAGGGGGCCGTGAGATGGGCCCTGCCGAGGTTCGGGAATCAAGACGGGGAAAGTGTGCTTCAGATGCTGGAATTAAGTGAGGGGGTGGCGATGCCTTCACATTCATAATGGTGTCTGTCACTGAAGCAGGAACGTGGGAAGGGGCAGGCGGGAGAAATGTTAAAGGACAGTGAGTGACTGCCGTGTGTTGGCTGAGGCAGGATGGTCTGGAGAAGCAGAGGGTGGGGAAGAGGGAGAGGAGCCTGGCTTGTGATCTGGTGAATCTGAGAACCCTGGGGCTGTCCAGGGAAGTAGCTTAGAGGAGGTTGGGTCCCTGAGTCTGGAGCTCCATTTGAGACCCAGAGGCACTTAGGGGAGCTGTCCTTATAGGACCAGAGAAAACCATGCAAGGCGTGTGTGCAGAGTGCAGGCTGGGGCTGATTTACCAGGGGAGCACTGTGGGCTGGAGCCTGCTGCTCCTGAGCTTCCCCAAGGCGTGCCAGTTTCAAAGCCTGAAAAACACCTTTAGCTTATTAAATAAAAACCAAAATATAGGGACCAACAGATGGCGTAATGGTTATGTCATTGGACTCCCACATAGTCAGCCCCGCTTCAAGTCCTGGACCCAGTAGCTTAAATCTCACACCGGTATAGGCTGTCCTCCGCTCCCCAGCAGAGCCCCAGTTCCATCTCCAGGCTCCTGGCCAGCAAGGGACGTTGAGGCAGGGGCACCACTGCCCCCCCACCCCAGCTCCAGCTCTCCCAACCCCCCCCAGAAAGGGTGGGCGGTTTCCCCCCCCCTTTTTTTTTTTTTTTTTTTTTTTTTGTTAATTTCCTACTCCTTCTTGTCCCAGAGATTGGCCTCCACTCCCCAGCAGAGCCCCAGTTCCATCTTCAGGCTCCTGGTGAAATCGCATGCCGGACATTAAGGAGAAAATTAGAGAGACATAGCATTAATGGGACAAAAAAAAAAAAAGGGTATTATCTTTTGAAGATAACTTTATAGTATTATCAACTGGACTGGAGAGAAATGTACACATGTTGTAATATTCACTTTGCAAGCTAAATAATGTGATTGAATGTAAAAAGACCTTGAAATAAAACAAAACAAAAAAAGAAACTCACACGGGTGCATGTGTGCCCAAGATCCTGAGAGAACAGAGAAGGGATTGCAGAGCGGCCATCTCCACTAGGGGGTGATGTCTTGCTGTCTCTCTCTCTCTCTCTCTGGTGAGTGCGCGTGCCATATAGAAAAAAACCTCTCCGAAACAAAAACAAAAACAAAACACACACACACACAACCCCCCCAAATACAAACAAAATCTTCACCAAATTCTGCAATATATAATTATTTCAGAAGAGAATTATAAAAAATGGCTCAACTTTTTAAGACAATATACTTTAATCATGTTGTAGGTGCATTTTACTATATCATATATAAGATGCAAAGTGAGGGGCCAGCAGACTGCGGGATGGTTAAGGTGTTGGACACTCCTGCCTGCATGGCCAACCACGGTTGGAGTCCTAGACCTGGTGGCTAGCTTCCTTTTTCATTTTCCCCTTCTCTCTCTGTCTCTCTCTCTCTAGTAAAATTAAAATAATTGAATGAATAAATTAAAAAATTTAAAAAAATAATTCTGGGGGGAAAAAGATGCAATATTGAGCGAGGCCCCTCCGAGGTCTTCCGTCCTGAAGTTTACGAAAGGGGGTGGGTGTCAGAGAAGGTGTTTTGTCCTTAGCTCTGACCCCCTATCCCTACCAGGCAGCCCGAGGGCTGCTCCTTTCGAAGGCGCCCTCCCCGCTCACCCACCCTCATGCAGCCCTGCCCTCACCCTTGCGAAGAGGATTCACGTGATACTGAGTGTAGAGTTTCTGGGTCCGTAGCTCCTTCAGGTACAGTTCCCGCAATATCTCGTTCTGATGAACCTCATCTGGGGTCACCTTCTCCTTCTGGCGTCCCGCCATCCCTTGGCCCTGCTAGGTCAGGGCCTGTTGTCTGGACTCCGTAGGCTCCGCTGGTCTTGGGCTTCCTACCCGCTCCAGGTAAAAGCGTCCCTCCTCGCCTCCAGGCAAGAACTTGCCACGCCGTCCCAGGCAACAGCGTCTCACGTCGTCTCCAAGCAACAGCGTCTCACGTCGTCTCCAAGCAACAGCGTCTCACGACGTCTCCAGCCAAAGGCTTCTGTGATTCTTGCCTCCACAGACCTCCTATTCTTAGCTCTGACCTCGCTCCCATTCTGCAGCTTCCAGGGCGCCTCCTTCCATGGGAGCTCTCTCGATCTTGTCCCCCCACTCTCCAAAACCTCTTGTTCTTAGCTCTGACCTCGCTCCCACCCTGAGCTTCCAGGGCGCCTCCTTCCCTGGGAGCCCTCTTGGATCTTGCCTTCCAGTCCAGCCCCGCCCCCACCCGTGTGGAGGGGATTCAAGTGATCTTGCATGTAGATTTCTGGGTCTGTAGCTCTTTTAGGTACAGTTCCCGTAAGATTTGGTTCTGATGAACCTTGTCTGGGGTCACCTTTTCTCTCTGGTGTCCCGCCATGACCTTGGCCCTGCTAGGTTAAGTCCTGATCTCTGGACTCTAGAGACTCCCCTCGTCCTGGGCTTCCTACTGTCCCCAGGTAGCAGTCCTAAGCCATCTCTAGCAACAGCCTCCCCGGCCGTCTCCAGGCAACAGTGTCCCATGTAGTCTCTAGGCAACAGGGTCCCACCCTATCTGTAGTTCTAGGCAATAGGGCTCCACTTCATCTTCAAGCAACAGACATCCCCCTCCAACGGTGTCTCTGTGATAAACTTTTTTAAAAAAATATTTATTTATTTAAATTATTATTTATACATTTAAATCACTATACATCAGTTAGATTGTAAAGAAACTTTACCCAGCATGATATACACCTTAGTCCAGCCCAGTTGAGAATATACACATCTTCATCAACAAATAATAAGCCATATCTGTGTTTAACAAATGTCTTACTTCTCCATTTTTTTCCCCCAAATTCCCTTTCCTATGCTC